GGCCCGCTCCCGGGGCGGGAGCGCCGCTGCGCTTCCCAAGCGGCGCACTATTCAGTGCGCCACCGGGCCGGCCCCAGCCTCTTTTTATAAAGAAATTGAGGCATCTGACTCCAAAGCCCATGCTGTTAATACTAAGGAGTAATAGTCTTTGATTTTTCTCTAACAGTGCTTTTTTTTTTTTTTTTCCGTGTCCGGCAACGGATCGTAACCCTCAGTGTTGCCCCCGTACTGGACCAGAAGAATCAATATAGTGAAAATGACTATACTACCCAAAGTTATCTACAAATTTAATGCAATCCCCATTAAAATTCCTATGACATTTTTCTCTGACATGGAAAGAACTATACAGTCATTTATCTGGAATAACAAAAGACCACGAATAGCCAAAGCAACGCTGAGCAAAAAAAATAAAGCTGGAGGTATTACTCTACCTGACTTTAAACTATACTACAAAGCTATAATAACCAAAACAGCATGGTATTGGTATAATAACAGAGACTCTGATCAATGGAATAGAATAGAGCACCCTGAAATCAACCCACGCACTTACTGCCATTTGATCTTCGACAAAGGCATTAAGTCTATTCACTGGGGTCGGGACTCCCTCTTCAGCAAAGGGTGCTGGGATAACTGGTTATCCATTTGCAGGAGATTGAAACTAGACCCACATCTCTCACCATTTACTAAAATCAACTCAAAATGGATTAAGGATTTAAATATACACCCTGAAACAATAAAACTTATTAAAGAAAATATAGGAGAAACCCTTCAGCAAATAGGGCTGGGCACAGACTTCATGAATATGACCCCAAAAGCATGGGCAACCAAAGGAAAAATAAACAAATGGGACTATATCAAACTAAAAAGCTTCTGCACAGCAAAAGAAACAATTAACAGAGCTAAAAGACAGCCAACAGAGTGGGAGAAAATATTTGCAAAATACATATCTGACAAAGGACTAATATCCAGAATATATAAGGAACTCAAACAACTTTACAAGGAAAAAACAAGCAACCCAATTAAAAAATGGGCAAAAGAGCTAAGTAGGCATTTCTCTAAAGAAGATATGCAAATGGCCAACAGTCATATGAAAAAATGCTCAACATCACTCAGCATCCGGGAAATGCAAATCAAAACCACACTGAGATACCATCTCACCCCAGTTAGGATGGCTAAAATCCAAAAGACGCTGAAAGATAAATGCTGGCGGGGTTGCGGAGAGAGGGGAACTCTCATACATTGTTGGTGGGAATGCAAAATGGTGCAACCCCTATGGAAAATGGTTTGGAGGTTCCTCAAACAGTTGCAGATTGATCTACCATATGACCCAGCTATTTCACTGCTGGGAATATATCCAAAGGAATGGAAATCATCAAGTCGAAGGTATACTTGTTTCCCAATGTTCATTGCAGCACTCTTCACAATAGCCAAGAGCTGGAATCAACCCAAATGTCCTTCATCGGATGAGTGGATACGGAAAATGTGGTATATCTACACAGTGGAATACTACTCAGCTATAAAAACGAATGAAATACTGCCATTTGCAACAACATGGATGGACCTTGAGAGAATAATATTGAGTGAAACGAGTCAGGCAGAGAAAAAGAAATACCACATGTTCTCACTTATTGGTGGGAGCTAAAAAAATAAACAAATTAATTTACCCACAAACACAGTGCTTTTTAAAAGCATGTGTGTAAAGGTATCAGAAAACTTTGAACAGTACGGAATACATGAATAAAATACTCTAGTCGGCAAAGAAGAATAAAACTATTGTTTAAAGTTATTTTAGGCTGCAGGCACTACTGTTATATCAATTGTTTCATCATCATGTGCCATTTTCATATTCTAGTTGATGATTAAAGAAAGCCAATTAATTCCAATGGTGAAAGCCATCCATGAAATCAGAAAGGCCAAAACTACAGTTCGCACACACTGTTTATAAGGACAAACATAAATCAGAACAGCTTTCTTAATAGACTCACTTCTTTGGTACACATGCACAGCCTCCATTTTACAAGGGAGTTTGGGCTGACTAAATGGAAGCCAATCTTCAACACAAAGTTTCATTATGTGGATGGCATTATATGACTCGCCAGGGACAACTGTCTGAAAAACTGCCTTGCCTATTTCTGGCTGTAATAATTAAAAAAAAAAAAATCATGACAAATTTATATTCGTTCATTTAGTCTTTACAATCTTTAGAAATTTACTCTGCCTCATATTCCTTAAAAAAAAAATCTCAAAAACTTATTTTGCTAAATTTAAAGTAGAAATATATTCTCTTTTTACTCATCTTGTCTATTACCTTCTCCCTTTCTCGATTTAGAGGAACTGGGGCTGCAATTTTGTTCCACTTGACACTGTCCGCTTTCATGATGAAGTTCTTCCTCGATTCCACTTTCAGATGATTGTCCACTTAATGTTCCTTCACTCCAGCTTTTACAGTTTTCATCTGAACAGTATGTCACATGTAGTGTTGATTCTATATCTCCATCATAGTTGGTTCCATTGCAGAATTTAGATGGTGTATAATGCTGTGATACGAATCCTACAAATTTCATTCCTCTTTTAGCAGCAACATTAATCTGAGGTTTAAACAGAGATGGCAGAACAAAATGTAAACTCCATTTACATTGATTATCAATTAACATTTAGGCTTATTGAGGAAATCCATTAGAAGATGGAGTAACTGACCTGTTACTAAAGACCCATTCATAAACTAACCCCTAAAACAGCACTGCTCATACGACTATGTCAACTATCACTGTGACTTCTTCATTTTTTTTTTTTTTTTGCTGACTGCTACAGGGATTGAACTCTGGACCTAGGTGTTATCAACACCACGCTCTAACCAACTGAGCTATCCAGCCAGCTTTCAACATGACTTCTTGAAACAACTAATACACCTTAGGAATTACAAAGACAGGAGTCATATTTTATTCTGAAAGGCTACCATTTGGGAAGAACTGACAATTCTACAGCATGATTTTTGAAGACCATATAACAATGGTCTCTCCATTTGAAGCGAAATTAAAAATTATTCCAAGAAATCTCCAAAAATTACATTACCAAATATATTTTCATTAATAAAGAAGAGACATTAATTTTATTTATTTATCCATCTTTTGAGACATTAATTTAAAAACAAAAAAACCCCACACAGCATTGTTTGCTTGATGTTGATAAGGAAAAATGCTAAAAGACTAATTCTTGACAAATATGTACATATAAAGCATAAGCCCAATTCATACCACAACTCTCAAGCTCTCTGAGCTGTTTATATCTCGATGGTATCATCTCCTATTTGGGCCAAATACACACGATTAGGTTCAATCCCATCAGTTAAAGCAGCATATGTCAATGCCAGTGAAATCATTTGAGACCTTAAGAGTCGTTATTTTTATACTCAGAACTTTTCCAATTGACATGTTTGTAAGACTAAGCTTTTATTTAAACACATACACCCAAAAACCTAAGGCATTTTCCTCTATGCTTTTGCTTTACTTCTTTGTTCTATTTATGTCTATGTTTTTCTCTTGTGTTAAATTGGTAATTCTTTTGAGGGAAGGGACTGTGTTTTATTCATCTTTGTATTGCAGTATTTTGTACTTACAGGTGCTCTATAAGTACTTGTTAAATAAGTTAAAATGAAGAAATAGCAACGTCTGTTATATAGTCAGTGTTTAAAACATTTAAAATAAGTGTTATAAATGTTGCCTGGGAGGAGAAGAAAGGGTTACCATGGAGGTTGCAAATGCAATGTCTATAGTTAGAATGAAATGAATACAGAATGAATGAAATGAAATGAAATTCCAGGAAGAATTGGGGCAAAATCAGAGAACAATTTCCAATGAAAGGGGCAACTGTAACTTAGCTCTAAGCTGATGAGACAGTAGTATTCTGAGAAGGGGGATGTATGGGTGTGTGGAGCTAGGACTAAGAACTAAGGCTGGTGCAACATCATTTACTCCTCTAAATTAACATATTGAGATTATAACAAGGCATGAAGCCTCAAAAATAACCAGAAATTTTCCTTTATATCAGGTGTCCTAGGAGAAAAGGAGAGGGAGGGGTAAGGAAGCATGGTATTATGCAGATGGAAATGGGTGAACTTATTGGCAGTGCTTTCTTTAAGTCTTATTAGTTGATCTGAGTGAAAAAATGCAGAAAGGTTTTTCTGTTTCTGGAAAATTTTATCTGGAAAGGTCTGGTAATAAATATAATATGAATGTCTTTTCCATTTTTTTAAGTTGGAGGATTGATTTTTTTTTAAATGTTAACACTTGCAAACCTAATTTTAAAATAGAGTGAATACTGGTATGATGTTAAAACTTGTCTTAAAATCTAGCTGTTCAACAATCAACTCTTTACACAGGGCAGTCATTCAAAAATAATATTTGGCATTCATCTATGGCTCTTGCTCATTGCTGAGGCAATGCTCAAAAATTTTATGTGCTGTTTCCTGAAGCTTTTCTCTTCATGAAATAGTCCCATTACTCTAATTGCTGAAATAACAGTACTTTCCTGTTTAAACAGATCTTTAACTGTGTCCAGGAAGTCAAATGCAAAACAAGGGCTCTGATGGTGAGCTATTAAGATTAATTTAGTAGCTACATTTTTGTTTTCAAAAGAAACTTTCTGGAGTGAATTTATTCCCAGGGAAAAAAAAATTAAATTTCTAAGAATAGTGATAGTAAACAGTATGTGTATTTTGTTCATAAAAATCTAGTCTCAAAGACTTTTCCTAAGAACCCTCATTGAATGGTGCCTTTATATGTAAATGAGAAATATTGTTAGCAACTATAACTGGCTATACACAAACCAGAGATAATCTTACACACATGGATTGTTTTAAGCTTGGAAATAACAATAGAAATGAATGAGTTTCACAGTTTCTTACTTGAAAAAAATGCACTAAAAAAAAACCTTCACCAGCCAGCTGCCAAAAAAACCCCCAGAAAAATAAATAAAAAAACCTTTTACCATAAAATCCCATCAATTTAGAATATTTATGGCATGCAAATTTTTTTCTTGATTTTAATCTATACATACAGTGTTCAACTTTTCATTTAAGTTCCAATTAAATTACATTGTATAAACTTTTTATCTTGACAGTCAATATAGTTCTCATGTAAAATGCCCATAAAATATTCTGTTGTATTGATACACCATTTTCTCCTTAAAAGGCCTCCAGTTATTGAGAATTTGGCCCCTTATTCATAGTGGATTACACATGTTTGTATAAAAATGATTTTTTTCCCATTTCAGTTATTTTCTTGGAACAGATTCCTAAAGAGGAGATTACTAGGTCACAAAATAAAATGGGATTTGCAATTTTATTATCAAATTCAGGAACTCTGTACTAATTTGTTACAATGCCAGTTGAAATATCAATGGTAAATTTTCTTAAAGCTTTTCCAACACTGTATTTAATAATTTCAGTTTAGTTTCCCAGTTTAATATCGGTGAGGTATTAATTAGTTTTTATTTACATTAAAAATTATTAATTAGGTTGAACCTGTTGCCAACTGTCTCTTTATTATTCATCTTTCCTTTTATATTTGCTGTCCATGAACTTTGTACATTTAAGACTGGATATCACTTTCATGTATTTGTATTAATTTCCTATATATTCTGAAAGTGAAGCTTTCACAGGACACATTCGTTGGAAATTTCCCCTTGATTCTGTTTTTTAGCTTAGTTTTCCTAGTACATACGTTGTATTAACATACTCAACCCCCTCAATCTATTCATAATTAAATGTATTTACTCTTCCATTTTCTTTTGAATTTTTTTATACTTAAAAAAATTATTTTGGGCTGGCCAGTGGCTCACTTGTGACAGCATGGTACTGGTAACACCAAGTTCAAGGGTTCAGATTCCCTTAAGACAACTGCCAAAAAAAAAAAACAAAAAAAACCCCCAAAAACCAAAAACCAAAAAACCAAAAAACCCCATAATAACAAAATTGCCTCTTTATTTCATCTGAAATGGGTGGAATCTATTTTCTATGGAACAACTGCCCACTTTTCCAACAATTATGAAGTAATGATTGTTCCTCCACTTTATTTCATCATATTTGTTATTAAATTTCTTATATGTCTTTAATTTACTTCTGGCATCTTCTTTCTGTTTCACAGGCCTGTATTTCTGTTTTTAACTCTGTACAATTTGGTACATATGCTTCAACATGTTTTAAAATCTGGTAGAATAAGTCATCAATCATTTCCCTATTCTTTTTAAAGTAAAAAAAGAAATTGATAAAGAAATACAGATGTTTCTCAATATCCCACGAAAAAATGTATACATTCAGTACCTTTTCTATTAGTTCTTTTGCTACGTCATTTGTTTGTGTCTCATGAGTTAGAGGACATTCCTCAATCACAAGCTTTGGGCGTCTTTGTCCATTGGGTGCTGCTGAATGCTTCAGGCTGTAACAGAGAGAATATATATATTCATGGTTGGAGGCCGATTGCTGCTTTTCAGCTAATATACTCATGTGACACTCACAAATAAAGTCAAGGCAATCGTTTGTTATTTCAAGCCTAATGGCTATCTCCTTTTATGAAAATACCAGAAAAAAACACAATAACTTCTGTTAGCTTAAATTTCCTCAATTTAAACTTCTATTAATTTCTAATTTAAAATGGAAGAAAGGCTTCATGTCTGTCGTTTTAATAAAAGTTATGAGAAATGATTTAGATCGTCGTTATACCTCAAACACGAGTAAAAATCCTGTTTAAATGCAGATAGATATTGCCCTGTCTTTCTTCTTTTCTGATGTTTTTTTCCATGTCAGGTCACTGCTAAGTCTATCTGAAGTATGATAAAAGCATAAAAGATAATTTATATGTGGTTGATAAGATTTGTAATTAGGACAAATGGTTTTGATATAGTTGAAGAGCTGTGTAAAAAAATTTAAGGTGTTAAAGACATTGGTCTGTTTATTTTCATTCTTCATTGGAAGGGGCAACAATATTTTACCATGAAAACTATCAAATTTACAATATAGGCTGACAAAAATGGTTGCAGTATTGTTGGGAAAAGTTGCTTTAAAAATTAAAAAAAAAATAAAATGGATGACGTTTAAATTTTATTTTGGTGAAAAAGCTGATGATGTTTTTCTAATATGTGAGGACTTGGCATAGCATGACCTTGCTGTAAAAGTTTTAGAATACAGAGATAGTTTCCACTGCCACTATTAATAAAACAATACAGGAGAGTTCAAAAAGCTCAGTGAAAGTGGACTTCGTAGTGTGGTCAACTCTCTGCCCAGTGATAGTTCTCATAGCCAAATGCTGCGCCTTCATCTGCTGAAGTTCTACAGGAGCCTCCCTGTGCTTCTTGAGTCTATTTTGCTTTCCCTTTGCTCACTGACATCTTCATCTAGAGCGCATTTGTCTGCAAGGAGTAAAATGAATCAGGTGTTTTAAGGAAGGAGATGTAAATTTCTGTGATTCAATCCAGGTTCAACCGCTGGAAAATGTGCCTTAAACCAAGCCGCCCCATTATTCTCTATTCTCCATCACTTTGTTCAAAATTTCTTTTCTTTTTGACAAAGAAAACTGCCACTGTCAACTGCCTCTTAGTATGACTGTTTTCTTGCACACCATGCTCACCTTAATTTCAAGCGCGACAGCACCGCTCTATATAGGTAACTTGCAGGCAGGTGTTTCCGCTGCCCTACAGGTTGTATAACAGGATGAATAGCCCCAACAATATATCCTTTAAGATAATAGTCTTCCACTTTTGTGACTATATCCAGAATTGAGTTTATCTTGATAACTTCTGGGTTTGATGAAGCTGAAATATCAAAAGCAAAGAAAAACTTACACATTCATAAGATTTAATTATACTTTATTTTGTATCTATGTGTGATAATACTAATGAATAGGAAAAATATCCATGTGGCTTAATTTCAAATAAAGTTACACTAACATGTATTATATATTTTCTAAACTCATTTCAGAAAAAAGCAAAAGTGACCTTACAAATTAGTAGATATATAATATTACCAATATGTCTTAAAGCGGAAACACAATGGCTTACATGTTTTTTCAATTAAAGCAGCTTTATTTTTTGGGATTTCATTTGACTGACTATATTTCCATTGGCAAATATTGAAGACATACATAACAGAGGAAGTTGAAAAGCCAATAGTTTTTAAGATAAAATGCATAATTTCTTAAAAACAAACATCATACAAATCTAAAAATTAAAAATGGGAGAAATGGCATTTGTTAATTGTCAAGGGCTTCCATATTTCCAATTAGTCTTCAAAAGCATCATGTTTTAAGTTTCTCTGGGAAGCTAAAAGTATGATTTCTTATGGAACTTAATATATTTGCTTAAGTAAGTAATTGAATAAGTGAAGTTATTGAGAAGTTCTTTTTAATAAGTAAAAATTCTAAATATAGAGGAAATTTTAATGCAAAGTTGATACACAATTGAACTATTCATTGAAGGAGGGCAAATCTGTAGAAATTACAGGATTACACTATTTGTATAGACTTTAGAATAATAAAAGGAGGGCCGGCCTATGGCTCACTCGGGAGAGTGCAGTGCTGATAATACCAAGGCCATGGGTTCGGATCCCATTAGGGATGGCCGGTTAGCTCACTGGGTGAGCGTGGTGCTCACAACACCAAGTCAAGGGTTAAGATCCCCTTACCAGTCATCTTTTTTTTAAAAAAAGAATAATAAAAGGAGGGCCGGCCTATGGCTCACTCGGGAGAGTGCAGTGCTGATAATACCAAGGCCATGGGTTCGGATCCCATTAGGGATGGCCGGTTAGCTCACTGGGTGAGCGTGGTGCTCACAACACCAAGTCAAGGGTTAAGATCCCCTTACCAGTCATCTTTTTTTTAAAAAAAGAATAATAAAAGGAAGGAGTGTGTTATTTGGGAAAATGCTCATAATGTTCCAGCAGTATTAATTTAAATAATAATTTTATTTTCTTTTTAAAGTTTTATTTTATCAATATACAATGTAGTTGATTTTCGTGTCCCTTTATTGATTCCTCCCTCCCCCCTTTCTCTCCCCCATTCCACCTATCAACATCGTATCTGTTCACTTGACTTAACAAGTTCAGGGAATTATGATTGAACAACTTTATTTTCTGTAACAATGTTTCTCATTTTATGGTAAACAATCAAGAATTAATATTTAGAAATAGACCTGAGTAACAAAATATGTGAAATAAATTCCAGGTATGGGCAGAGTTGGCTGTTGGCTTCTGTTGGTGTGGTCAGTGGTACCCAGCAAAGAATTGCTGCTGATTGCCTGAACACAGGAAGAAGGTTAAGAAGCAGAGGAGGAAGAAGGGTCAGAGGAAATCCCCTCCTCCCCTCACATTAACATCCACGCGATGGAACAGAAATCCACCATCAGTGGGTATTGATGCCAACTTCTCAAACTAAAATAAAGCACTCGGCAGAAAAGTTATATAAACCAGGATGAGTCTATTTCCTCCAATTTTCATCTTTTGTATTTAAACTAATATTCTGCTTACAATATATTTTCTTAATCATTATGAATAGGAATAAAACAAAGAGAATGACCTTAACTTTGAAGAAACAGCTGGGCTTCCTTGTAAACAGCCCAGCCCGCTTGCTTGTGTAGCAATTCTATGATTCATTTAGTTTTACTTGTTTTAGTATTTTGACTATGACCCTGAGTTCTAAACAAAGGAAGTGAAAAACTATAAAGTGGAACAAATTCTTAAGACCAAGGAATAAATCATAACCTAAACTTATTTTTAGAACTATACACTAATCCTACAACATTTTAAAGAAAATTGTAGTCTTTCAATGGAACATGTTGTTTACTGCAGAAAGTGGAAATAATTTAGTATGATATAAAAGTGTCTTCATAGTCCGGCCTTTGCCTCTTGATTCAGGCTTCACATTTTACTCTGGCATGCCGGAACTACTGGGGGTTTCTGAATCTGCCACTCTGTTTCATGTCACCAGGCCTTTATTTCCTTCTCTGCTCCCCCGGCCTGAGTTAATCATTCCTTCCTCTCTGCTGTGTGTACTTCTACTAGTGCCCTTATCAGACTGTATTATAATCATTTGTTTATATGTCTCTCTTGGCTGCTAGGCAGAGGATTCTTTAAGGGTGAGGAACCTACCTTATTCATGTCTTTCTATGCTTATCATGTTCCTTAGGTCATTATGTTAAACTGGAAATACTGCTCATAAAAGGAATTAAGCGGCAATATTATTGCATAAAAGAGAGAAAGCAACCAAGGTTAGCTAGTGGTAATAAAATAAAAGGTTAGTAAATTCAGGAACAATTGTATAGGTTACCCAGACCTTGTAGGAGAGAGACAAAGCAGGGGAAAAGGCAGTACTGTGGAATTGTTTTTTATTCTTTTGATCATAATAATGAGGGTGGTCAACAACATATTGAGCATCCAAACAGAAAAAGTTAAAGGTCATATTCACTTCAGAAGTTTCTAGCATATGCCCCACCTTATGTTCCTTATATTAATGATATTATAGTGAGAAAAACCACATCTTTGCAAATGAAGTAAAAAGTAATAAGAGGTGGAGCTACTTGGAGTTTAATTAGCTCCATCTTGGAGTGAGATCTGGAGAGAAATTTGAGAGAGGATTATACCACAGGCAAAGGATGATTTGATGAAGAAAAAGTGTGGCTTTTATTCAAAAGCATTCACTTGAGCTTGTGGGCTTGGGAGAACTTCTGGATACTGTTGGCCTTGCTTCTCTTACTGACTTAGAGTCACTGTTAAGTTATACGTTGTCTCACCTAGTCTACTTTGGCATCACTGCTTAGAAGGAAAACCAGAAGTCAAGAACTCAGGGTTGGGAAAAGTCCACTCTCCTGAAGACTTGGGTTAGCGTTCAGAGAAATTTTGGCAGCTCGATTCTCTAATTGTTCTCTGTGGAGTAGTGCAGGAGCCGACGCATAAAAGGCACTTAATGAGTTCAAAGAGGCAATTAAGTTGTTACTACACATAGAATATTTGAAAATGTTTCAATTATTCTGTATTTTCATTAGATGCTCAGCAGTTAGTAATATTATTCCACTCTTTAGTTCTATAATACCAACTTCATCATTAAATTTGTGGTTCCTTGTCATTGGTGATTGATAGTGGTGTTGGATCCACAACAGTATGAATGAACTTAATTCCACTGAACTGCACACTTAAAATGGTAAATTTTATGTAATGTATATTTTGCCACAATAAAAAAAGATGTCAGACTTTTAATTATATATATATTAATATACAGTACGTATATTAAAATATATAATACATATGTTAAAAAATATATAAATTGTGGTAAAAATACAAAATTGACCATCATAAACATTTTTTTACTGTACAGTTTAGCAGTGTTAAATATATGCACATTATTGTGAAACAGACCTCCAGAACATTTTCAGCTTGCAAAACTAAAACTCTATACCCATTAAACAATTCCCCATTTCTCCCTCCCCTCAGCTCTTGGCAACTGCCATTCTACTTCCTGTTTCTATGAATGTGACTACTTTAGATATCTCATATGAGAGGAATCATACAGTATTTGTCTTTTTGTGACTGGCTTATTTCACTCTGCATAATGTCCTCAAGTTTCATTCATGTCGTAGCATGTGACAGGATTTCCTTCCTTTATAAGACTGAATAATATTTCACTGTATGTATATGCAACATTTTGTTTACCCATTCATATTTCAATGGACACTTGGGTTGCTTCTACCTTTTTGCTTCTATGAACACAGGTGTGCAAATATCTCTTTCAGATTCTGCTTTTGTTTCTTGATTCTTTTAGATAAGTACCCAGAAGTGGGGTTGCTGAATCATATGGTAATTCTATTTTTAATTGTTTGAGAACCCTCCATACCATTTTCTATAGTGGCTGCATCACTTTACATTCCTATCAATACACAAGGGTTCCAATTTTCCCACATCCTTGCTAACACTTACTATTTTCTGGTTTTTTATTTTTTTAAAGATGACCGGTAAAGGGATCTTAACCCTTTACTTGGTGTTGTCAGCGCCATGCTCACCCAGTGAGCTAACCAGCCATTCCTATATAGGGATCCGAACCCGTGGCCTTAGTGTTATCAGCACCGCACTCTCTCAAGTGAGCCACGGGCTGGCCCTTGTTTTCTGGCTTTTTGATATCCTAAGGGGTGTGAGGCAATATCTCATTGTGATTTTGATTAGCATTTCCCTAATGATTAGTAATACTGAGCATCTTTTCATATACTTTTTGGCCATTTGTATATCACCTTTGGAGAAGTATCTATTCAAGCCCTTTGCACATTTTAATATCAGATTATTTGTTTCTTTGTTGTTGAGTTGTAGGACTTCTTTATATATTCTGGATACCAACCCCTTACCAGATATATTATTTGTGATTGTTTTCTCCCATTCCATAGGTTGACTTTCCACTCCATTGATTGTGCCCTTCGATGCACAGAAATTTTAAAGTTTGATATAGTTCTATTTATCTATTTTTGCTTTTGTTGCCTGTGCTTTTGGTGTCATATCCAGTAAATCACTGCCAAATCTGATGTCATGAAGTGTTTCCTCTATGTTTTCTTCCAGGAGGTTTGTAGTTTTACACCTTACGTTTAGGTCAAAAAATTTTAAAAAATACAACAGCAACTGTCTTGTTGGCTTAGAAGGTATTTGCCTTCTTCCTCAAAAATGATGCAAGAAAAGTAAAGAACTTTGATACTTTGCCAGAAGTTTTACTTGATTATCTAGCAAGGTAGGTTGCAAACTGGACACTTAAAAATTGGTGAAGTTGACAGAGATTTTAAAGCTT